GTCGCCAGGACGCCCGCGGGGGTCCCGCTGCCCCCTGCCCCTCGCTCTGCGCGGCCGGGGAGCCTCTGCCCCTCGCACAAGGGTCGTTCCCGGGAAAGCGCGGGAGGGGCAGGGCGACGCCAGTCAAAGGGAGGACGCGCCAGTTCCCGACGACTCTTCCCAGGGGGTTTTCCCTCGGGTGCTTTCCAACGAAAGGTTTCAAGCTGTTCAGAAAGCGGCTGGCACAGGCATCCTGTTGTTAGAGAATCAGTTTCAAGGGTCTTAATCCTACCGAGGACAAAGTAAAGATGAAAACACAACACACAAAGCAAGGGTCGTCAGAGCTAACGCCAGCCTCCCTCTGCCATGGGGTTTGTCCCAAAATGCAGTGCTAAAAACGCAAACCCCAACGCACAGCTGCCCTGCTTGCCCCTGGCACGCTGTCTCGGGTAGCAGTGAACTCAGAACCACAACCACCCACCTACAGCGGTTTTCATTAAACGGCTAAAAACGGAAGTCAGCACCACGCGGCTTCAAAATATGACTGGGGTGTATCTCTAGACAGCACACCTTTCAACCAGGAACTGAAGGACAGAAACAGAGCCACTCTCACTTCTGTGGCCCAGCATCGCCACTGCCTTTATTTCCAGCCATAAGAAAATAACTAGTGTTGCTAATTTTGCTAATGTTGCTAATTAAGTTCACTAGCACGATCTGCACCAGCCTGTGGGCAAACCAGAATGCCCTTGTACAGAGCACTCTGTGGCTTGAGGAAAGCAGAGAAACTTTCAAGCTCTGCATTTATAAATCTGTTTCCTGTGGTTTTGTGAAGTCAATGCTACCAACTTCTGCTTCTAAAGCAGGATTCTTGCACTCTGCTCAATTATTCCTAGCTCAGCTAGATGTAAGAAGCTGTTAATGGTCACAGCCCAAGATCAAACCAGACTTGCTTTATTGTATCAGAAAGGATTAGTTCTGAAGGCGAAGGGCAAAAATTTTCTGGGTCAGACTTCTGCTTCTGAGGATGGTTTGAGAAGCTCTGAAGCTTGAAAGGCTGAATTTAAACACGAATTACTTCACCCACTCAAGGTGACAGTCTATGCTGGGGTTTTCCTCAGTTCTTTGTACACAAAAACAAAGGCTATAAGAAGCAGCTGGGAGATGTTTTTGTCTTTTCAACCAGGAGCATAAAACATCATTACATTGTTTCACCCTAGACAAAGTGGTGGCATGGTACAAGGAACACTACAGAATATCATGCGTAAGCAAAGCTGACAATTTTTACCCCCTATGGACAGATGCAGAAATAAGAACAAGACATTCCGTACAGATTTACTCCAGAGACATCCACACACCACACTCCCACCAGGCATTCTGGTCCCTTCTCACACCTCTAGACTTACCTGCTGCAATGTCTCTGGAGACAGGTGCAAATCTCTACCCAGCAAAGCATAAGAAGAACAATAGGAAAATAAATCCAACTCTAAGGAAGAGGACTCATGGGAATTGAGACCGATTCAGTTAAGATCTTGTTCCATTAGAACTACGGAGCACTGTGTTGGTTGGGATTTGAATGACCTGCCTAATTAGATTTTAATTTGTTCCTTCTCCCTTAAACTAGAAGGATATTTGACACCAATAAACTTCAGAAAAATAAAGCAAAAGTATAAATGTCATTGCTCTTACTGTCAATAGCAGCCATTAGTAAACTTATTTTACCAACCCAGAAAGCCTATTGCAAAACAGGAATTTTGGCTGATTTTATAAACTGATGTATTATTGAAAGCCTCAGCTTCAATATGTGAAAGCAGCTATCTCTTTTATCAAGACCGGTGTCATGTCTCTTCCAGACCTACATTAATGACTCCTTATTTTCCATGATGCTTCCCCTTCAGCCAGGAGCATTTAAAAAAACAATGTCAAGGTAAAAGCCTAAGAGGCTCATTCTGAGCATGTTTTCCAACAGGACAGGAGAAAAAAAAGGGAACTCTCCTTGAAAGAAAACAGTCTTTACATGGACATTTTCTAAAAAATAGCCTAAAAAAGAAGCACCTTAAGAGGAAGGTACCCACTGATTCCCAGAGGAGCCAAAGTTGAAGGGCACGAAATACATAGTATTGTACTCTGAGCAAAATCTGAAGGAGAAGCTATAAGGTAGAGAATTTTAACTCTGCCAAGGGGACCAGAAGTCCTATCAGAACAGTGATGCAAAGTTGGGGGAGAGCGTCTTGATGGCCTAAGTAAGCTTGGACATGGAATAGCATGTAACCATTCACTGTTTCTCTTACACAACGCCAGGTAAACAGCAAGTCATTGCTAACAGAAAGGCAGACTCTACAGAAGACTACTTGTTCAACGGTCTACACCGTGCGATACTTAAGTACAAGGCAGAGTGGCCACAAGATGGAGATCTGAGAAAGGACATGCTGATCCTACCAAGGAGTTCTGCAGAGGGTGAAAGCTTAAGGTACATCAGGTGAAGCAGATAGGTCACTCTTCAGAGGTGAGACCTTGTAACATGAAATCTATGCCCAGGAAGCATTGAAGAGGCCAGAGCCAGTTACAGAAAGTGACATCTGCCCAGATATTATTTGAAACAAATGCAATTCCGATCCCCTGGATCCAAATCCTGCAAATTGGAGATTATCTACCATCAGGTGGCACAAACCAGCACTATTGACAGCTGCATTCAGAGTTATCCTTGTGATGATACCAGAATGGCTTTATTTCATAATTTAACAGTTGGATGTCTCCATGTCTAGTAGATATACTCCAGATAATAATTAAGTTATCCACAGGCTTTAAAATATTTAGCTATCTGCAGAGAAAACATTAAAAACAGTTCCTTTTGGAATTGTTGAAATTGATTCCAGAGTGAGATTTGGTTTTGTTAGGTGGCTTTTGTTTGGGGTTGGGTTTTTTTGGTTTCTTTTTTTGTTTGGTTGGTTGGTTTGGGGGTTTTTTGTGTGTTTGGTTTGTTGGGATTTTTATTTTTGTCATTAGTTTCGGGGGTGGTTTTTTTATTTTTTTTATTTTTTTTTTTGGTCACAAGCCTTACAAATTCTGACAGGACCCTTTTGACCACTGGAGCCCAGAAACACCAGGCTTCACATTCTAAGGGCATTGCACACCATGCCAAAACCTCAGATGCATGAGATATCTTTCAAATGTATGCTATGTCTGCCTTGGGGAGGGGCAGAGAGAAAGCAAAACAGCTTGGATGCACCAATAGCTTTCTTTTAGCATCAGGTCAGTGGACAGCTGTCATTGTAGCAGTCAGTGAATCCAGCTCTAGCAATTTCATTTTTTACTTTCGCCTCCTCAGTGCCCCTCTGCAGCTTGATCTAGTTTGGTTAAGGACTAAAGAATCAAAGCAGGCTGACAGGTGACTCAAAACACATTCTAGCAGAGAATCAGACATCACTACTACATTGCAGAAGTAGGAGCTCAGCCTAACAGAAATGCTTTTTCAAGAAGCAGCTCCAAACATACCACATAAAAAAACCCTACATATATGTCATGGTAATACTCCACTTTACAACTGAGAACTTCAAGCAGAAATTCATGTAACAGCCTTACCTTTCAACATGCTTCAGCGAGGATGCAAGAAAGCTAATAGCAAGACTAGACAGAAAAAATAAGGAGAGTTCCCAAGCTACTCAGCACTGGTCCCTAAAACCTGCTGGCTTAATTAATTTCATCTTACAGGCAGTCCATGTCTTCTACTTTCATATCCATCCTGTAGTTACTGCTCTGAAGTGAAAAATTGTTCCTAATGTGACACTCATTTCTGTGGCAAAGAGTAAAAATGCACAGGAAAACCTGATACTGAACAGCACAGAAGCTCTCTGTTCCAGACCTATGGATAGGTTCTTATGCCTGAATGCCAATATGTTCACCTTCCAGCACCACAAATTAACCAAGTCAATTACCATTCCTGACAAACTTTACCTAACAAAAGAAACCAAGATTAGTTCCAGTTGCACGTGCCAGTCAAAAGACGACATAGTACATTGTGGTTTTTGCAGTGCTACTGCTGGATTCAAGACAAAATGTTTACAATCTTACAGTTAAATAGTATTTGATATGAGCGATAAGAGATTTGGCAAGACACATTAATTTTGCCTTAAATGGTACTTTCCTTTATTTTCCAGCTTTTGTTTGACAAGTGCCTCTAGTCTGCCTAAAATTAATCTAACAAAAATCCTGTGTGGGTACTACATATAAGCAGTGCAGCAGCTTTAAGTCTTTGGGGACCACTGTAGTGCAGAGTTATATATGGATATTTCAGCACTCAGTTGCAACTGTGTTGAAATATTTAAACAGCAACAGCCATAAACAGGAAGGAATTGGTTTACAAAAACTGCATTACTTACAGTGATGTTCTGCAAAAGCGTCAGTACATTTTTAGAAAGACGATTAGCTTAAGCATCCACAAATTGCAATATAAATCAAGCTAACTAGCACAAGTTGCCAAACTACACTTCCATATCATACAGCCTGCCTTTGTTGCATTTATTCAAGGTCAGGGGACTTCTAATGAGTTGGCTGGCAAAGGTTCAGCTAATTTATCTGAGAAGGTGACTTTTGGCTTTTCCTTAAAAAGAAAAAAAGCTTTCACTGAAAAAGCCTCTTGCCTTTTGATCACAAATTAGCCACAGAAAATGTGAAGCAAATGCATGCCAATTTAGTGCTATCTGCTTGAGTCGGTAGGGAAGAGAAGCACGCAACCTATCTTCAAAGACAAAATGTTCCATCAACAGTAAAGTTGTAGATGGCAGCATGAGAAGGAAAGGATGGGAAGTTTATCTATGATCTAAAGTACAAGGAGCCGAAAGAGAATATCAGATTAGATTTCTGTGTCAGAAATAAAAAGCTCATGTCTTAAGGAAAATCTCTTATCCTCCAAAGACAAATCTGCTTAGGTTAGAAAGAGATTATTTTGTTCCTCAACCACAGGTACCAGCACTCACAAGCCTACCTTATCCAGCAACACGTTCTGCCATAAACGGAAGATACTGAGGTAGCTTCTGTCTCTTGCACTGAATGACGTGAAGAAAAACTGTGGAAAAAAATAAGATGCAAAAGGCTCACTTGTAGGTATTTTCAATAACCAGAATGCTTCCTTACATCGTGAATATCCTGAGGTTTTCAGCAATGGCATGCTCCTCTCACACTCAACAAACCAAGGCTCATAATTCTCACTCTCCACACTTTTTATCACTTTTCATAATTAAAGAGTTAGTTCCCCAATTTCCACATAGTATATAAAGACAATTGCTCTTCTGGGCATCCAATTGCAATCATTTGTACCTTTAGCATAAAGGAAGAGTTCTCCCTTAGCTAACTACCCAGTTAAATCTTTCTCCCATTTTTGAATAGGAGGCAGAACAAATCAGAGATGCACATGCTTATTTCCTACAGGCCACAGTCCCTTCCACCATTCCATCACATATTCCTTTTACTAATCTTTTCCCGTGAGAAGATGTGAAGTTAAAATAATTAAAACAGGAGATCAAATTAGAGGTATCATTTGCAGTATTAACATCTTTCCCATTTTAAAGTTTGTTTAGCAGAGAAAGAGGTCTGTCTTCCTTGATGCTGAAAGTTAATATTTAATAAATTGAGAGGGAACAGCTAAATATGAGGAATCACAGTCCATTCACAAAGAACAGCTCCAGATTCACCATGGAAAACTGTTCTCTGCAGCCAGGCAAGAATTATTATTTTCGAAGCATTGACAGAAGTATCATGAAGCGTGTTGCACATAAGAACATTCTGCATCATGCTTTTCAGTTTTTCCAGATACACACCCAAAAAATCACACTTCCCAGAATCAAAAAGATTGTGTTCTATGGGTTGATCTCTCCATGACTCGAAAGCCATGTTATCATAGCTCTTTTGTTTTCAGCAATTTTCTTCCAAGGGCACTTTAAATCCAGTGTTATCACAAAAATATCCAAGTCAAGGACACACGTTCTGAATTCATGCCCTGAACTTTTAGTTTTCAAATGGCTTTCCTTTCAGAATCAGTCGGACAAAAACTTCCTTACTAGTAACTAGAGTTACTGCATCAACATTTCTAGTGAATTCTGCAATTAAACGAGAGTTCAATTATCAACCCAATATGCACAGAGACCAAAACACCAAATCCGTTTTCTAATCCCAATCACGTTTAAAGATTTGACAGGGAAGTTGCTTATGCAAATTTAAAACTACAACCAGTACTCTGTGCCCTAGACATTATAATTTAAAAAAAACCCCACAGATTTAAATACAGGTTTTCACCTTCTCTCCTTTTGTTGCTATTTGTATGGCATTTGGAATGAGCCGAGCAGTCTTCTCCTTTGTCATGAAAGTGATATCCTTCAATGCAATAGAAATCTAAGCAGAAATAGATTTAATAAGACATATTAAAAATAACTGTTAAGACCAAAAATTTACAAAGTCACAAAACACACAAGAGGAACTTCAACTAACCCCAAACCCTGAGAAGCAATTCAGCTGAGATCACAAAGGCAGTTACTGTCTCCACTTGCTAACCTTAATGGCAAGCATCCCAGAGTAGAAGCAAGAGTTAACTTCCTTTTCTTTCATACTAGGACTAGGGAAGCAAGTAGTTCGTTCTTCTTTCCTTCCCCTCCTCCAGCAACACTTGAGGATTAAGGGCACAAGCCCAACCACTTATCCGAAAGCCAATCCCAACTGGAACACTATACACAAGGCAGGACAGATAACAGACTATCTTGTCTATGTCATCTTACTGAAGTTTGCAGCCTAGTCCATTTTCAGAGAGGTTTATTTGTAGTCCATACACGGCAAGGAAATCTTCCTGCTTGGATGTCTGCCTTGCATATTAGTACTTGAAATGTTTCTGTTTAGAAGAGCATGGTCTGACTGGATGCAACAAGGCATTTCTATTCAGCCTGCTCCCTTCCCTTGAAGATTAAGCTGAAGAGAGAAGAGCCTTAAGGAGAACACACAGTGGGCTCTTGCTTTTTGCTGTGTGTGCAGAAGGTCCTCCACTTACTCTCTGTCTGCATCAACACAGCCTGCTAAGGAGAATCCAAAGCTTGGATCTACCATTGTAGCTGATGAGCTCAGATTGCCTTAAGATATCACTTAAAGATATCACACTGCTGTTTTGGCTGAAAAAAAAAAAAATCAGTCTTTGAATAGTTTATATATTCAAGAGTGTAATATTGTTTGTTTGGTTTTTTTTGTCTTAAGTCTACAATAAGATGAAATTAAGATTGTTTTCCAGTTAAGCATTTCTACACCCCCTCTCTGTCTTAAGTATATGAGATATTTGTTGACTGTGTACTTCAGAGCACATAGACTAGAATTTAAGAGGTTAGCTTCAGGTATGAGCAGTCTCACAGCTGCAGAACATTTTGACACATCTCCATCACTTAATAACTGTCACCTGCCCTCTCATTCACTGCCTCATGCTATTTCTAAAGCAGAGGCAACAATTGCTCAAATGAAAGTTTTTAACTCATTAATCCAATTTGACAGAAATAGAGGGCCAACATGTCACAAATATCTACTTTTGCTCATACTGTTCAAAAGCTACAGACCATAATATGAGAACTTGCAGAGGTGACTCAGAAATTCTCTTCAGCTAGTCTTAGATGCTGATACTTACATGTGGGACTAAACCAAGTTAGGGTTCAGTGATGGAAAGCTCTTGAACATGGCAACACCACATACTGTATCATGCTCCTGGTCTCATAGGAGAACATTACACATCACAACCCTTTATAGAGCAAGTCTCTTGGGTAAGGAGAGGCAAACCGTTATCCAGAAATCTAAAGGATCAGCTTTAGCCTAACTCCTGAACTCCTTCCTATGCTGAATGGCTGACTGAGAAGGCTTACTTCAGCACTCACATCTCCAATGCTACTCTCCTTTTAAAGAGCAACAGATCTGCATTTCCACTCAGGGAAGCAGGCTCGCTCTTTCCAGCACAAAGTTACTAGCATGAGATTGACAGGAAAAGATTATTTTTTTTTTTTTCTTTTCGAAGAACTCTTATATCCTGATAGTCCAGGACAAAGAAGAGGTGGGATTCAAGTGAGCTAAGAGATCTTACTGTGGTCTCCCATCGGAAAATGTTGCTGTGGAAACAGAGCCAGTTTTCAGAGAGATATAAGCGTCCTTGCAGCAGGATATCCTTCTGGAGTGCACAGGCATAATCTATGTATAGAGAGCAAGAGCAAGTTTACTCACTTATTACAGCTCAGTTGACCCAAAACTGTCAACTTAAATTGAGATAAGGGTATTATAATACAAATAAAACCCCACTTCTTTCAGTCTTCAAAGGTCTGTCAAGGCAGACTTGTAGTGGCTTGTACCCAGGCCATCGTTCTGGGAACATTCCAATCCCAGAGCTGATGGAAGCACCTGTGTGAGGACAGCACTCCATGTATAGACCCCCTGTGCATTAACCTGTATTTTCAGAGAAGGAGAATCAAGTAAAATCAGAGTACATAGGAGAAGTATTCATAAGACAAACTTCAATGTGCCTCAACAACAGAATAAACAAACGTTGTATAGCATAACAGATTATACTGTCAGCTCCTACATAACAGTAGTTCCTATGTTGTAGTAAGATAATCATTTTCCACTAAAGAGGTCCTATCACTAGCTAAAACTATCTGCAGAGTGAGATACTAAATGGCAGCTTGAAGCTATCCAGTTCTTCAGGCAGGGGATATTTTCAGAAGCTGACTATCATTTTTGTTATGATACTGCCTCTGGCTGAAACATTCCTACTGAGAAACAGATTTCATCTAGAATGCAATTATCCATCATCAGATACTTGTTAAGTAAGAGCAGAGGCTGTGGCTGCACTTTTTAAAAACCTCTTTGAGAGAACTTTCATAATTTCAGAGCTTGAATATTCAACAAAATGAATTTTCAAAAGTACTACTGCTAGAAAGTTAAGACTGACAGACCTCTTTGGGAAGCTCCAACCTAAAGAAGGTTACCTTATATATAGAAAAGACCCAGAATGCATCTATTCATGCAGGACAGTAATGATTTTAACTTACAGGTATCAAAGAGTTTTGTTATTTTGAAAAGCATTGTACCTGGTATTGTCCGAGTCAGAATTTTGATTCTGTGTACAACAAGATGATGAATACAGTTCTTGAACAAGTACCAAGAGGCTCAGAAGTCATAGAATGACTAGAAGTCCCTCATCATCCTAACTTCAAGGTAAGACTGCATCTGCAGGTTTTATTATTGTTTTTAAAATTCTCTTGGGTTTTCTCCTCAAATAATCAAGTGGAAATAAAGTTTCTTGCAACAAGCATAAGGCATGTATACAAGCCCTTGGAGACATAACTGCAAACAGAATTACATAAACTGCAAGAAATTCAAACCCATAAGGTGTAAATGCATGTTTAAAGAGAAGTCAGACACCAAAATGCTGGAAAGCAGCAGGATTTTGAGGCTAAGGAAAGCATTACTAAGAAGCTTGCACCTGCCTTCTACCTTTGAGGGAAAGGGAGGGATTCGGACCTATAAATATCAGAGCACTGAGCAAGTGATGAGCAACACCACCGTGACCTACCTACGCAAAAGAGAATATCAAAACAAGGGGAAAGATGAGCATTTCTGTCTAAATTTTTAGATCCAGTAACTTAAGACGCTGATTGTAAACAATATTTTCAGACATATTAAAGTTAGTGGCACTTCTTTAAACTCCTCTTTTGAAAGTTCAAGTAATTCCTCTTTCACTATAAGAAAAGAATTAGACTTCCTATAATCTTTACATACAGTGCTCATTACAGTGAAATAGTAGCTTTTTTTTTAACAGCTAAGTTAAGAACAGGAGCAGTTACAGTTCTTTTGATGAACAGCAGCTAGTAATTGCTTCTTTCAGCACACAAAGCCTGCGATAAGTTTCTCTGCCTCAAGCAAAGGAAGAGCTCTTTGCTTGGAGGATGCAAAAAGTCCTTCCAAGGGAGCACTGCTTTTTATGGGAGTTAAAAAAACCCAAAGGCATAGAGTAATGACTTTGGTTCTGATAGAACAGGTGCTACGCTGTTGAGATTAACCCATTACTAACTCCTTCTCCAAGTTGTAGGCAGTCAGTTCATTGAAACTGTGCTTCTGAGTTTGCTCCATGGCTTCCTACATCAATCTTGTGTAAGGAGAAACATCAAAACACGTTGAAGTAATATCCTTTTCTTCTGTACTGAACTCAAATATTTTAAAAATGCAGAAGGCATTTCAGAGGATAACTGCCCTCCTTCTGAGGCTGGAAAAGGACACAGGGATTTAACTGTTTCTGTGCAAGTGAAAGCTCTGATTTCTCTTCCATTAACCTGGAAGGAACTCGCCATGCTGCAGGCCTATACTGACAGCCTCTCAATACTCACTTCCTTAAAGATTACATAAGATGACAGATGAACTTTAAACGGTCACAATGCCGCTTTTGTATGAAAACACCACCCAATTCTTGGACAGTGTATTTGTTACACAATGCTCAGGCAGCGTGAGCAGGCTTATCTGCAAGGCAAGTGATAAAAGAAGTAATAAGATGCATCACCACATGCAAAGGAGGCAGGGTTATACACTTGCCTTCTTCAGATTTCGCAGTGGAGCAAAACAAGGAATCAGAGCTCAAAAGGAGCACTTCAGTGTTAAGAAGTTATGCACCATAGTCTGATATTCTCTGCCACCTGCTTCTGTCCTCTCCCATCCCCCATGCACTTCTCACTACCTCTGCTCTTCCAGCTGTGCATTACTTCTATGCCTGCACCATGTCATAAGCCTATGGATAAACTAACCCAGTATACTGAGCTGTGAGAAACCTCCACTCAAGGCACAAGCCAACCCAGAACTGACAGATTTGCACAGCACAGCACCAGATAAAATGTACTTCACGCTCAGCACTAGCCTGGGCAGGAACTACAACTGCACAGACCAGCATGGGGCACAAAATGTTTTTGTCTACCCTCAAGATAGCACATTGACAAATCCATCCAAGTGCACAGCATTATAAATCAGGATACAATGAAGATTGGTTTGTGTTTTCCACCGATCTCCTATGATGGCTGATGGGAATTACACACTTAAATACTGAATGTTGTGTCCTCGTACCACATAGCTGCCATTTGTCTCTGAAAGAGTCTTTTAGATTATAAGCCCCCACTCTGCCACTCAGTCCCAGAAGTCACATTAATCACAATGCCTAGGACAAGGTTCTAGGCTTAGTCTAGGGAGCAAGGGAAAAGCTTCTGCTATGGATGATCTACCTATTTAACAGTCACTGAAGCAGCATCCCTTACCATTGTATCCAAGTACCAAACCATTACAACTACGGAATCATTCCCTCCTCCCCCAACACCTATGGCAGCTGTCTCGGTCAGAACCAGTTGCCTCTTTTACTTTAAAGAGAGAACTCAAGACACTCATAGGATAGAAAAATAAATGATTATGACACTGCAAGAGGTACATCAAGTTGTTTGTCCTTGCTAGAAAGAACATAAAACAAATTCAAGGATCTCGGGATTTAACTTTACCTCTGTTATTCTCACACTTGCATTGCACGAGCCCATCAATGCACATACGTCGAGTTTGTGTGCTCAGGGCTCATCCTGACCCTGCATAGTGATCTATCTTCCTTTCCAGCTTGTCAGCTAACAGCTGTCAGACAGTAACATCTCCACCACTGCCAGGAAGGATTTTTTATATAAAAAACTCATTAAAAAGTAGTGGCAGAAAAAGACATTAAGAGGCTCCCATCCCATATCTAGATGAACTGAAGGATTCTACATCCTCTCCTTCACTTCTCTACCTTCAAAATAAATCTTTTTTCACAAAGCAGGAAGTACAGGAGAATAGTATGGACCTGACATTCCCTGAAGGTATTTGATGCTAGTTCAGAGACAGGAGAATAGGAAGGTATCAGCTGTAGTTAGAAATTGCCATAAAAACCCCCACACTTTGGCAGTACTGCAATTTAGAGTTATCAGTCAGACACAAGCACTTTTGGTGTGATTATGGCTTACCTACTATGAGCCTCTCAGAGTCTGGCAGATGAGAAAACTGTCTCTTGAATTCCTCGCTCCTATATTTGTAAGTGGAACTTGAGAGCTGCAACAAAGAATGGTAAAAGGTTAAGCAAACAGATTTCTTTTCAGCCATCAACTGTCTTCCTACTGGATATGTAATTTTATCTTGAAGAACAAACGGACATGAAAAGAGCAATGAAGAATAGGTGGCATCTAAATGTGATCATCACTGTAACTTTATGCTTGCTTATGTAAGAATGTGCTTCCAGTATTTAGGATAGGATGGGCCGAACTGTTCCCTGTATCAGGCCAGCTGCCAATTACAAGGCATTACAGCTGTATGATGGCACTCAGAAGGACACAAGAGCCCTTTCCAGGCCTAAGTCTTCTAGCACAGACTAAATGAAGAGGCAGAAAGGCCACAACACACAAGGTGACAGAACAGATCAAGTCCTCATGCAGGCCACTGGCGAGACACAAGGACACAACCTAGAACATCCATTTCCAATTGGAGTACCATTTCAGGAATATGACAATGCAGCAGATTTTTGTTGCTGTAATCAGATCTGTAGGAATAAAGGTAAAAGCTTCCTCCAGTAAACATAAATAGCAGCACCACCATCACCTCTTGTTTTCCTGATCTGTTCTGAGTTTCACCCCATGTTTAAAAAGATCACTATCTATGGTTCATCTAAGATTCAACCTGGATGGTAAACTCACAGCAAAGAGGACTTCATATCCTTATAAACAAATGTCCCCACTTCCATTCAGATAAAGCACTTCAGTGTTGTCTCCAGAAATGATTCTGCTGTAAAAGCCCTATTTTTCATTTTGCACTAATAAGGTCATATTTTCCTTCCTAAAAGATGTTGGCCACTCATTTTAGAGGCCATTCTAACTAAATGCTGTATAAGGCAGCAACTCAGCTGGAATATAGCTTAGACGGAAGAAGACATGTTGCCAAAACTAGGTATAAATATACTACAAAAGCCTCTTTTACACTTTTTTTTAACCTTTCTAAAGATCTTAAGCTGCTATTATCTCCTTGAGCACCTGTATTACTCCAAAACTTGACAACCACCATTAAGCCCATCTCTACCAGAAGATCAGTGGCTATTTACATTTAGGGTGGAGGGGAAAAAGAAGGAAGGAGGCAAAGAATCACTTTTGACAGTATGACCTTACAGCAGGTTAACCAAAAAAAACCCACTCAGTTTTAGCACACTCCTGCAGTATATTAGCTCATCACTACCCTTTCATTATGTCCATGCTTGTTGTCAAAACAATCCCAGAATGAAGACTTATCTTCAGCTTCAGGGTCTTTTAATAAACCAGTGCAAATAGTGTCCCACCTCATCAAGATTTTCACATTTTGCTATTTTCCACAAAAGAGATTCCTGCTTCTTGCAGTTCATAAGTTCCCTGAACATCACCCTACACACACACACAAGCACCCTATGATGGTCTGTCATCTACCGATACTTGAGAACGGGGCTCTTTGGCCACAAGAACACGTAAGTGCTACTTCAAGGTCAGATGTTTAAGTGCATCTAACATATGAGAGGGTAAAGTCGCCCTGACTCAGTTCAGCTTTAAAAAAACATGTTTGTGTTACCTTCCATTACCATCAATAAAAGAAAGTCTTTAAGTCTGACCACTGGTGAGTACATATTTGCTGTCCACTAGTATTCTGAGCATTGCAATGTAAAAAAGCAGTGAGGGAGTGAAAGAGAAGATACATCCACCCCTACTCTTCTGAGAAAAGTAAGCATGAAAGCTTTAGGTGCAACTAGCAGAGCAACAGCAGACACATCCTTTAAGCTGTATGCTTCCACTTATATTTCAGCTATTTCTGAGATTATGAAAATAACATTCTTGGAGAGCGTGTCACCTACTAAAGTAGACAGGCTATGGTCTTCCTCTACGAAAGTAAACAGGCTAGGTTATGTGGCCTTGCACATGGTGCCCCGAAACACACATTTTTAACTGATCATCTGAAACAGGCATCCGATGACTGCAGCACTTCCAAGAAAACAAGTTCTTTGCAATTACTCTGGAAAGAAACACAGAGAACAATGAAAAGCTAACTTGGATCCGTAAAGTTTCCACTTGTAGCTCCAGAGACCCTATAGCTTACACAGTTCACACCTCAACTGACTGAAGTCTGAGCTTGTGGTGACAGCACTAACGTACAAGGGGAAGAAAGAACTGGTCTGCCATGAGAGCAGAAGAAAGTTCACAGTCTTCAAGCCTGACTTATGAAGCCATAATTTAAGAAGCCATGCTTTTAAGGAGGGAAGTCATTTCTCAAGCACACTGTATACAGAAAAGATAAAAGATTAAGAGCTACAATGAATTTAAGCATTTTTGTGGTTATAAGACAAAAAGAAGCAAGAGGAGAACAGGAACATTACACTATCACAATTTTAGTGCCTGAATCAGCCAGTTCAACAGCTCCAAGAATCCAAATTCAAGATATCTTGAGTTTTACTTAAAAGTGGAATTTCTCTAGAGCATAAAACCTGCTATTGCTTGTCTAAGAAACCCTTGCTGGCATTTAAAAGTGTTTTTTTGTCACAAGTGACAAATAGGCTACAAGAAATCCTCTTATTAATTGTAGATTTCTACTGAGTTCTTACAACATTTATGAAGAGCCAGCTCCGAATCTTTATGTCTAATCAGCAGAAAAAACAGTGAGGCTTTTTAACCTTATCTTTTCCTTACTTTGTAGGAAAACTAGCTCAGTTAAATCTCTAATTATTACACCCTCAGTATGTGGCTTGGTGATTGATGGACTTGGTAAACAACAGGGACAATATTAACACTATTAGCATTATCAATCCCCTTAAAGTGAGGAAAATGAGCTTTTTTCATTTCTATGAATGCAGCATCTCTCAATCACCATTATAATATCTAAGACATGGTACCATTTGAGGTAGGTTGCCACCTCTGGGTTACAAAACTTACCACTGAATATTAAAAGAAGAAAGGCATAAATTCGCCCGCAGTATGACATTTAAGAGATGAAAACAGCAACTCATTTTTAACACATGCACATTTTTAAGTTTAATTATAAATCACCAGGCAAACACTTTGCCTGAGGATAATCTTAGGCATTTATGGGTACACTATATTTAATCACCAAGAAAATCATTAAGTTCAGCCAACAACATATTAGCATTCTTTATCTGAAACCTCAAAATATACCAGAAACCTCTGTAAAATAGCATAAGCGGAAAAACCTTTCCAGCCTCATCTAGAAAGTTTTACAGAAGACAGTTATGCAAGAACCAGATACTACTTGAAGACACATAACCAAGTGATTCTTATACCTTGTTTAGAAATGGACCAGAGACCAACTATATAAAGTCATGTTCCAGAAAAATATGTTAACTTAAATAGGACTGGGTTATTTATATGACAGAAGGTTGTTAAACAGCTTCCCTTCACATTTATATCTTCAAAGGACGGACACTGCAAATAATTTGAGCCATTTGGCAAACTGTGGGGGGAAATTAAGCTACACCTTCTCACCTTGTCATTAGGAAATTATTTAATTGCACATATAACTAAGCATGCAAATAGTCAATCAACCTCAGCAGAACAGCATGCACTTTTTTTAACATTTGCTAATGACAGCAATAATTTTGCATTTGCTTTGCTAGTATTTTCCTTTTGTTTTGAGACACCACAAAACCCACGTTACCTGACAATTTGCATTCTATAGTTCCGACACACAGCTATGAATACAAACAGCTGAGAACACAGGTAAACTGACCTCACCACTAGAGTAATACAACTCTCATGTCACCTCATCAGATGCACACGTGCATCCCACCAAGCTTTAGTCTTGGTATCGGTTACCACCAAGTGCTTGGGGTCCCAGAAACCAACAAGCCTACAAGCAAGCTGTCCAACCTTCTCCTCTTTTATGCTCAGAACTTTTATGCTCATTTAACCATCAAAATACGGCCAACGAGATTCATGGCTTTGCTCCTCTGTCTACAAGCAAGTAAATCCATGCCACTACCTACGCTCCCCTTAAAGACTACCTGATGTTCTATTCCCCAAAGATGGAAGACCTTCACCTGTATTTTCCTATGAAGTTTCTAGACATGGTCAAAAACAAGTTTAGAGACATTAGAAAGATTAGGATGAAAGTACTTTTTAATCCTACACTAGCCCATTAAAACAAACATTAAATACCCTAGCAAAAATCATTGCATTTCTATTGAAGAATGCATTGTTTCCCCTCCCCCTCTTCAAATTCATCTAAAATCCTGCTTAGCATCAGGAGAAAGAAAAAGAAAATAGCCTCCAGCAGAACAACACAGTCAAAGACAATTTTGATTTTATACAAAAAGACTACAAATATTCTTGAAACTTATCTGGTAGGGGAGAGTGGGAAAAAAACAAAACAAAACAAAACACCACAACAGCCTCTTTTCAGTGAGACTAAAACCTCACTGGGCTAGGAGAGAGCCAAGTGGACAGCCCTGAACAAAAGCCTCATCTAGCAGCCTAAGGCAGGCAAACTTAAGACTTCATGTACTCTGAAACAGATTCAGGCAGACTTGTCTATAAGGACAAGAACAACTCCCACGGCACACTGAGGTGGCAGTCTCTCTGCTGAGGCTCCCTGTAAAACATGCCCAGTCTGAGAGGCCTTTCCATCAGAGAAACGGTGATGGCACTGCAGCCGTTTCTTTCTTCAGTCCAGAAAAGTTCATTATGATCCCACAGTCTAATCTATAGCACACGAGCCACAGCTATCTCACAGTTTAGCTCCTGCTTTAAAACCAGAGTGGCGATGACGAAATCCCTTTGAGAAAGAAAGAAAAAAAAAAAATTTTACCTTCTACCTTCTTAAATTAAAAATCACCCTGACGGAAAAATCCATCCGAGGTATGGATAGTTCTTCTAGCGGTCTGTTGGTTAATCTTATCTTCACTTTGCGAATTATTTTCAGATTGTGAGCAAATTACCCCGTATCTTCTTTTGGGGTAGGGATTAAGCTTCAAGTCTAGTAGCAAAAAGATTTTTTTCAGACTTATTCTCATGGCTCTTCTGAATCCCCCCTTA